ATAATTGAGTAAAACTGAAATTTATTATATGCCACAGTCGTCCTACGGACCTCCATGCTATATATATATAGCCTCTATGGTTCTATGGGTTGTGGTCTGATTGTTCATTTTATATCTAGAATCCACCAATGAGTGAGTACATACCATAACTGTCTTTCTGGGTTTGGGTTACCTCACTCAGGATGATATGGAAACATTTATTTTTATGTGCAGGTATGAGGCAGAAATTATACCTGCATAAAACAGTAACCAGCTCCAGTGATGATGATTATCTTTGACAAGGGATAGAGATTCTATGTGAACACTGACTATACTGATCCCCATGGCTAAGATGCTTTTTGCAAACTGCATTAGGTTGAATTGGAATTATTGGAGGAGTCTGTATTTGATGTCCCACTAATATATCCAAGAGGCATATTTAGTGTTTGTCCCATGGACCCAATTATTGCAAAGGAAAAAGAACCTTGGTATTCACATCTGCTACCAGCTGTGCATTATTAGTGCAATAAAAATGAAATACATTTTTCCGCTCACTGGGCAGCTAGTCACCATAGCAATAGATCATTATACAGAAATCCATCAGTTCAGCTGGTCATTATCCCAAAGCAGCAGATAGCTAATACATTAAGTTCTTTCTTCTTAATTAGTAATTGAGCAAATGAATTAAATTAGTTTTGGCATTGGAACTCAGGGCTAAATTTATGTAGCAAATGGGAATTCAGAGGAGAAAATGAAACAGGTCTTCTTCCTTAGTATATGCCTTAAAAGATTTTAATTAACTCAATTATCAGATGCAAATAATGGCTTTGTTTTTGGACAACACAGTTAATCAGTGTAAGCATTCCTAGTCACAAATTAAATGCAATGTTCTTTTATCACAAAAGTACTATTTTTAACTGTTCCTTTTCTCTCATCCTTGGCATAGAGTGAGTCCCAGAGATACAGCCTGTCTTCTTGTTATCTTGTTATCTTTCAGAACTGTGCCTGGCACACAGAAGGGCTTCTGGACCCTGGGGACCGGAGATTAGACTCATCTAACACTTGGAAGACAATGTGATGAACAGCGGTTCACTAACATCTCTGTCTCCTTTACCCCAGTGTCCAGATTACAGCTTTGCGACCACTAAATGAACTTACCTGTGCAAAGTTATACAAGACATGCTCAATATTATTTGCTGGATTGATGCTTTGGGTCTCAGATCAAAAGTCCTACTCAAGTTTTGTTTAAAAATGTGCCAGCTCATTGCCTCTGTCAATACCCATTGCATGTAAACAAGAAACTGGAAAACGACATTTCCTTTACAGCAGCCTCTACTGTTTTGTTGAGATGCTTTAAAAAATAACCACTGAAGTACTCAAAGTTGTAAGTTGTGATACCATCAAATAAATTTGCTATTATATCTCCTGTGAATGGAAAACCAGTTTATAACTGAAGCAAGGGTACAATAAAGTCAGCCTCTAGGGTATGTTGTTGTTTGTTTTTTAGTCTTTGGGGGGGGGCGCACAACCCAGTTGCAAAAGAAATCACATACACGGGTTTATTATTAATTATGAGTGCCGAGTCTTAGCTTGGCTTAGTTTCTAGCCAGCTTTCCTTAAATTATTCCATCTACCTTTTGCCTCTGGGCTTTTCCCATTCTCTTCTGTAAACCTTACTCTTACTCCATTGCTGGTTATGTAGCTGGGTGGCTGGCCCCTGATGTCCTCCTTCCCAGGTTAGTTCTCTTTCATCCCTCCTCGCAGATTTTTCCTTCTGTATATTCTCTCTGCCCGTCAGCCCTGCCAATCCTTTCCCATGCCTTACTATTGGCCGATCAGTTCTTTATTAGACCATCAGGTGTTTTAGACAGGCACAGTAACACAGCCTCACAGAGTTAAACAAATACAACATAAACAAAAATAGCACCCCTTAAAATAATATTCCCCAACAAAGGTATCTTTTCCAAACTCCCCACTAGCCTGGCTTACAGGTTGTAACTCCAACCACATTTAAAAAAATTATTTTATTAAGGAGACAACACATAATTCCAATGGGAAATTCCTGCTAAAGTTTTATCGTGTCTAAATTACAGACTAGCCACCCAGTGGTATCACTGGCAGACTTTCACTGACATTGACCAGGAAGGAACACAATGAATGACTCTTACTATAGTGGTAAAATGTATACTGTCACATCCCATCAGTTTGGGTTGGGAGGGCAACCTGCAAATATTTATACATCATTAATCCAAAGGAAGAGTAACAGGGATTATACATTTAATTGAATGAGAAAGTTTTCTTCTTCTGGGTTGTTCCAACCTATTTGATGGTAAGGGTCTGCTCAAGCTTCTCTCATACATGATCTTTCCATGCTTGTGGTGTTATGGTGATTTTTAAGCTTCTATACTAGCCCAAACCTGTGAGCCCAGATCCAAAGAAACATTTCTAACACAATATCAGATCTACCACAGCAACTGGAACCCCGCAAATGCAGAAGTGCTCAATGTGTATTCCACATGGAACACAATAGGCCCAGGCCTAGAGACCCTAAATCCACACCACAGGATGAAATGCTCATTCCGGTCCACTCCACCTGCCTTTCCACAGAGAACTGCAGCTGATGGAGATGTTTCCCTTTCCAGAAGGCCTGGCGGATGTGCTAATTATGTTTAACCTTCCCCTTTCCAAAGTCTTATCTCTAGTTTGAGATCTATCTTTAACTCAGAACTAAATGGTTTCTACTCACAGGTACATCGAGCTGTGACTCAGGCTGCCTAGCTACCAAGTGCACTCCCCCGCCCTGCCAGAATATGGCATGAGCTGTGACAGCTGGGACAGATAAGGGGACCAAAGGAAAAATAGAAGGCAGTTTTATTTTCACTCATGACCTAGTGACTTACACGTTTTAAAAGTTCTTAACATTTCAACTAAACACTTCTAAGAATACAGTTTGAACACATAAACACCCTTTGTTTAGATATTAACCAAATTTATCCCTTAGTTGATTCATTTCCCAATTAGTTACTTCCCTTTTGGGTTGCAGATGATAGCTGACAATTACTAATCTTTTGTGTGGATCTTATTGCCCCTCCTTTTGACCCTGAGGGAATTAAAGCCTGGTGACCTTGCCTTAGCCAGAGCATTGGTATTGCATGGGTATCTAACTGTAAACCTCAGAGACTTGAGTGCAATATTTATTGTAAAAATTAGATGAACTAGAAGGATGAGGTGGAAGATGAGGAAGAGCCAGATGAGGAAGAACTAGGTGGGTAAGAATGAGATGAGAAAGACCAAGATGGGGCAAAACTAAGATGAAGGAATTAATATAGCATTTAGGGAGTACAGCAGATAAATGTATAGGGAAATCTGGCAAGAAAGGAGCTAGGCATGAGAGCAGAATACAAGCGGTATATAGAGAGAATGACTAGAAGAATAAAGTGAATGGACTAAAGAGTTTTGTGTAAGTAGATTTATTAGAGGATCCCTCAGATTAATCCACCGCTGATAGCATCTCTTCTGGAGCTCTGGGAGAAGGCTATCCAGGAGCTGGACGCCAATAGGTTTTGTTAAGCTCTCTTAAAATCTTCTCCACCAAAGAAATTAGTCCATTACTTTTCAATTCTGCCTAAGGCAGATTCTTAGGACAAGGGCAGAAAGCAGCCACATTCTTTGCCAAAATATCACAAGAATGGTCTGTAGCTCAGTTACTAATATTGTTCTTCCCTGAAAGGTTTTGAGTTTGGCCTCCATAGTCCAATTGTTCTCAGCACTATTGTCTTGCAAGCTCCTACTTGCATGATCTATTAATTACTGTTTACAGAATTCAACTGCTTTCCTAGCCCAAAGTCCCAAAATCTTCTACCAAAAACAGCATGGTCAGACCTATCACATAAATAGCCCAGTCTCTGGTACTAACTTCTGTCTTAATTGCTTTTCTGTTGCTGTATCAAAATATTGAAATCAAGACAACTTATTAAAAAAATATTCAATTTGGCTTACATTTTCAGAGGTTTAGATTCCATGATGGCAAAACAAAGGAACAGCTGAGAACTCACACCTTGATCTACAACCATTAGTTCACAATTGAGCCAATGTAATAATGTGGTTTTATAATGAATTGATACACTCAGACTTGAGACATCTGCATGATTCTGATATCTGTAGTAAGTGTTTCAGTCATACCAAACAACAATATCTTATAAAATACAAGCAATATTTTCATGCCTTGCTAATATCCCAGTTTACCTTTGGTTGCTGTGTTAATACATGAACCAAAAGCAACTTGGGGAGGAAAGGGTTTATTTCAACTGACAGGCTACAGTTTCATCATGAGGGAAACCTACGCAGGAATTCAAGGCAGCAACCTGAGGACATGAAGTGGAGGCCATGGAGGAATGCTGTTTGCTGGCTTTTACCATGGCTTGCTCAGTTTGCTTTCTTATATAGCCCTCGACCACCTGCCCAGGGTTGGTCCCATTCACAGTGGACTTGACCTTCCCAAATTAGTCATTAATCAAGAAAATGCTCCAAAGACATACTTATAGGCCACTCTGATGGAAACAATTCCTCAGTTGAGGTCTGCTCTTCTCAGGTGGCTCTAGTTTATGTCACAATGATAAAAAGAAACTCAACAGCACAATTGATTCTTTGTCAACTTGACACATTGCCATTAAAGTATAACCTTTCCTTTGTGGTTTATTCCCAAGATCTCATGTTACTATCATAATATAAAACATAGTATAATTTTAAACGCCTTGTAGTCTTTAAACAAATTCAAACAAAGTCCAAGGTCTCCTTACAAATCTGAAGTCTCTTAACTGTAAAATCAATAAAATCCTTCCTATTAAATTCAAAATAAATTCATGCTTTCTTATTTCAAGAGGGAAGAATCAGGATACAATTTCAATGAAACCAAAGTCCAGCAGTGTAAATATTCAGTGTCCAGTGTCTAGGATTTGCTCATGATCTTCTGGATTTGAAGGGCTACAGCCCCATTCATCCTGCTATGGCATCTGGAAACATAAGCTTGTCCCACAGGCTCAGGCCTACTCCACTCTACATATGCTGCTGTCCTTGGTGTTGGCATCTCCAATTCTGGAATCTCCAATATAAAACTAATCCAGCCCCTTCAGCAATGTACTTTGCTGGCTTTTTCAGGAACTACAATGATGCCACATATCACCAAGCCTCAGTTTTTCTACATGAGACTTGTAATCTGGGGATTTCAACTACAATTGAGGGTGCATCTTCACCAATAGCCTCTTCACTATGGTCTCACATAGTGCCAAGAATCAACTGCTTTCTATGACCTCTTAAGTCCTGCAGTTTTCTGGCCAACAAAATCAGCACCACATGGGAGACTTTTACACATTAGCAAGTTTGGATGCCAGCTTGAGATGCAGCCTTGGCCCCATTTGGACTATAAATCCTGGAGGCTGATACTGAGGAAATAACTTTGCAGAAGATTTTAACTTGATGCCTGTCTCTTACAAATCACAGCCCCAGCTAATGAGCATCAATTGTCTCAATAACCAAAGATTTTACTTCAGTGGTTCTGGTCTTTTTTTTTTTTTTTTTTTTTTAAGCTGTTTCTTCAGACCCAGCTCAACAGAAATCACAGATTCATAAATTAAATATACCACACAGACAGCCCTAAAAACAGTGGAAAAACAGAACTAACCACATTTAATTTGAAGACCTAATTCAAGTTGTTATACTCTTTGCTTTTCTCTGAAACTTTACAAGCTAGATTTCTATTGTCTGCACCTCTCTCGGTCCTATTTTCCAAGCTCCTTTAACATCCCAGTTAGCTGAGTACTTAATGGCCTTTCCAGCTGAAAGCTCCAACTGTTTCCATAATCCTACCGTGGATTAGGGAATCCTTTCCAGGAAGGTGGCCAGGTCCATCACAGGAATATCCTATGATCCTAATCTCTGTCCTAGTTTACTTTCTGTTGCTGTGAAAAAACACGGACCAAAAGCAACTTGGGGAAGAAAGGGTTTATTTCAGCTCACGGGTTACATCACCAAGGGAAGTCAAGGCAGGAACTTAAGAAGGAATCTGGAGGAAGGACCTGAAGTATGGACCGTAGTAAAACACTATTTACTGGCTTTTCCATGGCCTACTCTGCTTTCTCTTCCTTCCTTCCTTCCTTCCTTCCTTCCTTCCTTCCTTCCTTCCTTCCTTCCTCCCTCCCTCCCTTCCTTTCTTCCTTACTCTCTCTGTTTCTTTTCTTAATTATTTTTTAGGTTCATTTATTTTATATATTTGCGTGTTTTGCCTGCATGTATGATGTGCACCAGATGCATTCCTGGTGCCTATGGTAATCAGAAAAACATGTTAGATGCTCTGGAACTGGAGTTATGAATGGTTGGGAGCCACATGTAGGTGCTGGGAACTGAACTTGGATCCTCTGCAAGAACAAAGAGTGATGTTAACCACTGAGTCATCTCTCCAGACCCTCAGCTTGCATTCTTATACAATCCAGGGACCACATTCTTAGGGGTGGCACCACCCCCTGGGAAAGAGGCCCTCCCACATCAATCATTAATCAAGAAAATACTCCCAAAACATGCCCACAGGCTGGCAGGCAATTCTCCAATATAGGTTCCTTCTTCCCAGATATCTCTAGTTTGTGTCAAGTTAACATAAACTAACCAACATAGCCAAAACAATTCACAGGGTTTGTCTCCAATAACATCCATATATTTCTTTATATGTAAGTGATCAGGTAAGGATTGCTACACTATTTACACAGTGATTTCTACTACAACAAATTTTCTCTTTTCAAGTTTATATGTTTGAAAATTATCTTCCTATGTACATGTGTAGTGTCTGTGAATTCACTCAGAGTTAATGAAGATCTGGCTTCACTTAAAGGTAGCCACATTGTATTGGGAAGGGTTTCTCAACAATACTTCTGTTGATTGTGTTGTGAAGAATAAAGGATTTCTTGTGTTATTTGAATTTGTAGGATTTCTCTCATATGTGCATTTTTGATCATGTGTATAAAATATTATCCAACAGTTGAGACTCCTTCCTTTGCTTTTACAAGATCTCTCCAGTACTAAATTGATGGTGATGAAGAAGGGTTGAATTATTAGTAAATTCCTTGCAATTCTATCGTATTGAATTATTCTTACTGTATTGAGTTATAGGTGAACATTATTGAAGGCTTTGCAACAGTGTTTGCATTAAACTGGATTGTTTCTAGTAGGACGTCTGTTGTGTCTAGTAAATCCTGAACAATTTTCAAGAGTGTTGCCATGTTGTTCACATTGGGAGGGCTTCTCTCCACTATGAAGTCTGCAATGACGTTTAAGGTTTGAAGAAGAGTTAAAGGCCTTACCGCATTCTTCACATGTGTAGGGTTTCTCCCCAGTGTGAATTTTCTCATGTTGAGTAAGGTCTGTAGTACAAGTGAAGGCTTTGCCACATTCTTTGCATTTGTAGGCTTTCTCTCCAGTATGAACTTTTTGGTGTCGAGTTAGATTATGACGGTTATTAAAGGATTTCTCACATTCATTGCATTTGTAGGGTTTTTCTCCACTATGAATTCGCTGGTGATTCATATAGGATGAATAAATGCTAAAGGCTTTTCCACATTCATCACACTTATATGGGTTCTCTCCAATATGAACTCTCTGATGGTAAATAAGACTGAATGAACAGTAAAATGCTTTGCCACATTCCTTGCATGTGTAGGGTTTCTCACCAATATGGATTCTCCTATGCTTACGCAGGTATGAAGCCAAAGTGAAGGCCTGGCCACATTCATCACATTTGTAGGGTTTCTCTCCAGTATGTATTCGTTGGTGTTGGTGAAGGCTGGAAGAACAGATAAAGGCTTTGCCACACTCTTGACATTTGTAGGGTTTCTCTCCAGTATGGATCCTCTGGTGTTTAGAAAGTATGCATCGAACGTTAAAGGCCATGCCGCATTCTTCGCATTTGTAGGGTTTCTCTCCAGTGTGAATTCTCTGGTGTTTAGAAAGTGTTGAGTGAACATTAAAAGTCTTTCCACATTCATCACATTTGTACGGTTTCTCTCCAGTATGAATTCTTTGATGTTTAGAGAGTGCTATGCGAATAGTAAAGGCCTTGCCGCACTCTTCACATTCATAGGGTTTCTCTCCAGTGTGAACTCTTCGGTGAACAACAAGGCCTGAACCACTAGTAAAAGCTTTGCCACATTCTTCACACTTGTAGGGTTTCTCTCCAGTATGGATTCTTTGATGCTTACGCAGATATGAAGAACAGAGAAAAGCTTTACCACATACTTCACACTTGTAGGGTTTCTCTCCAGTATGAATTCTTTGGTGCTTTTTAAGGTTGAAAGAATAGTTAAAACCTTTATCACATTCTTTACATATGTAGGGTTTCCCTCCTGTATGAATACTCTGGTGTTTTATAAGCAGCGGTTTCCAATCAAAGGTTTTCCCACATTCTTTACATTTATAGGATTTTGATCCTGTTGAGTAAACGTTGAGGTATCACTAAAAGCATGTCACTAAACTTTAAATGAAAAATGCTTAGTTTTAATATGCATACTTTTCACTCATAGTTACACATTTAAATGTAATTAAGAATCACATAAAAAAGAGTAAGAATCATTCAAATCACACAAATGGGAAACTATAGGCATTCAAACACCTATAATCTTTCAACATGATTTGAAAAATGTGGTAAGTGAAAACCACCTAAACTACCACTGGATTGTGAATATGAAGACAATGAAGAAAAAACAAATAATGGAAAACTATTACACCTAAACAGCTGAGCCAGACATGACCTCTGTAATGAGGGCGTTATGCTAAAGGAAATAAACCCATTCTATGAAGTCAGCTGACTGTGTTACTGGTCTTAAATAGAAACTCAAAGTAGAAAAGCTTGTGAGACTGGCAATTAAGTGGTAACTGTAACACACTGGGTAGCTGAACACCCTGGCAAAAATACAACGTTTCTTATGTGTCTAGTGTGTCAGCTCTCAAAGCTATAAAACTGTATACAGATGCTACATAGAACCGCCCTAACACTACAAAACAACATACTTGAAATATGTAAGACAATATTATGTTTTAAACACAATTCCTAGAAAAACTCACTTAACAGGATACAACAACCATTAAATAAACAATGAAGTGAGAGTCAGGTGTGGTGATCATGCCTTTGTTCTCAGCAGGCAGACAGATCTTTGAGTTCGAGGCCAGCCTTGTCCACTGAGTGAGTTCCAGGACAGCCAAAGCAACACAGAGAAACCCTGCCTTGAAAAGACACACACACACACACACACACACACACACACACACACACACACACACACATACGAACGAGGTGAGGAAACAAGCATGATATGAAAACAAGAGTAATATTTTTACTGGCAAGTGAAAACATATGACTTTGTTTTCAATAGACATGGTTTAAAGATATTTTCAATTTTATACAATGCATTAAAGAATACAATATCAAGCGGGGCGGTGGTGGCGCACGCCTTTAATCCCAGCACTCGGGAGGCAGTGGCAGGGGGAATCTCTGTGAGTTTGAGGCCAGCCTGGGCTACAGAGTGAGTTCCAGGAAAGGCGCAAACCTACACAGAGAAACCCTGTCTTGAAAAACAAAAACAAACAAAAAAAAAATCAAATAATGCTTTTTACAAAAATAAATAGGGTACATCTAAGTACATTATTACATGTGAAGCAATCTAAATAAAAAATAAAATAAAACACAGAAAATAGAACTGTAAACTATAAAATAAGAAAAAGGAAAATTTGGGCTCATGAATTGCTGAAAGACTGTGGAAGAGGTGTTCACCAAAACCACTCTAGGAGTTTGCAGTTTTCAAATATCCACATATCCGCAAAAGGCACACACTTTAAAATCACTGACACTGACTATACGGCAGCAAACAAAACTGCGAGAATTACAGGAGCAGCAAAATGCCCCCGCAGCTCAGCATGGCCACCTGTGGTCCATTCCGCAACCTACATGAGAAAATCAACTCCCTTCAAATCTTTAAACATTTTATTTCCCCCCTCCAATCCTTGTCATGTCCCCTTCCCCAATTCCTCCCGTGCCTCCTGTCTTAAAGTGATGACCTCTTTTTGATTATACTGCTCACGTACAGAAACTTGCATAAATATGTAACCATAATCGCTCACGTATAAATATATAACTATAAGAACTCACAAAGAGCTCTATTTTGACTAATGACTTTGTAAATGAAATTTGCAAATCATATTTGTGGTGTTACTGCGTTACAAAGTCTTTCCCCATAGATTTTAGCAATGTGTGTGAGTTTTCTGAGCTGTAGAAAGCTATGTTATAATCTAGACCTTAACATGCAAAATGGTCTTTAGGACTGGGGAGACGACTCAGCATTAAAAAAGCCTGTCACACAAGCATGAAGACTAGGGCTTGGATCCCTTTGTAAATGCAAGGTGAACATGGCCACCAGCTTGTAAATTCAACCATGGAATAAGGTAGAAGAACTGTTAAGGAACATACGAACACATGCAAACACACACACACTTCAAGTACCACACAGACATTAAGTTAAAATTAAAGAACTTCGGCAATCATCATAAATCCATGCAGTACTGCGTGAAGTGGTAGGGAAAGGCTGGGCATGATAAGCATCTAGCAGGAGATGTCCTTTAATGGTAAGTGTAATAACTATAAAATATTCTCCACTAAAACATAACTTCTCCATGCACATTGGAAAGCCATGCTTTTCGCTCATATTTTTGGATGACACTTGTGCATACTGATTCATTCATTTCTACATACCTGCGTGTGCGCCTACTTTTGCATGTCTCTTCACACTCCAAGGCTCTTTTCTTTGTTCCAGAAATGTGACCAAGTATGGCTTAGAGAAAGCAAGACCTATTTGAAAAAGGGAATTAGATGCTTGGCTATTTTCTCCTGGAAATTAGCATTTGAACTCCAGTATTATGCATCAAAAGAAAGAGACAATAAGATTGCAGGAAATACTATCTTTAAACATTTCCTGAAAGACAGGGCACTAAGGAGTAATTTACCATCTGCAGATTCTGACCTTCATTACAAGGAAAAGTATCAAGGCTGGAGAGTGGGGCATTTTCTTTAACACATGGACTATGTGCCTCATGACACTGAGCTTCTAACATTGCTACTACAGTAAAGGACATATACTTCCAAAAACAAGTTAAAAACACAGGAAAAATACAATAAAATGTTTCTCAGTTCCATCACATTCCATTTTTTCTTTAAAGCAGTCACATGAGCTGCACTGTTGGAGAGCACACGCTTCCATGAGATATTCTACAATGGAGGCAGTCACGTGTTGACAGTGAAATAAGAATTCACAGTGGAAGTGATTCTCACCCAGGAACACAAGGTTGCTGTAATTCTCCAACATCACATCCCTGTACAAATTCCACTGAGCAAGCTCCAGGTATTCTCTCTCTTCTGCAGAAAACTCAATGGCCACATCTCTAAATGAGAGCAGTTTCTGAAATTAAATGAAATCAACAGCACAATCAATAATATAAACACTGAAAGTCAATATGCTTGGAATGACAATTTTAAATTTTGCTAAAGATGAAATCAGAGCTAAAATTTTTTCTGACATGGGTGTGTAGTATTAGATACTTTTAAATGAAATGATATCTCATGAATTTATCCTTTTTAAAGAGAAAGATATGATTCAAAACTTACATGAATATAATTTTATACTAAAATGTTAACTGTAGTAGTCCACAAAAATATGTACTTAGTGTGGTCTGCTTGTATTAGACACCACACATTACATATATCCTCACAGAAAAGAGCCATGGTGAGTGTGCACACTCAGTAGAGCGCTCTAACCGCAGTAGAGTGGGTCCATACACTCCAGCACTGACCTCGGTAATGCGATCAGGTGCAGAGACAGTGCCAGTTAGTTCCAACCACCCCACTTCATTTAATGCTCAGTCCTGCAAACGCATCAATTTCAACTACTGCGTAACTATCTTCTCTCTTCAATTTCCCCACAAAGTGAACTTTTCCTCTGGCAAGCAGGCCTTCGGAGAACCTGGAGACAGAGATCAGCACCTAGCAACCTCACGATGCCAAAGGTTATGTGAGTCTACCCTCTGTTTTCCAGGTGTGCATCTGATTGTAAAGTCGACACACCTTGCACTACTGTTTGGGCACAGGTTCACGTCCAGGTCTCACAGGACCTTAGTGACAGGAAGGGTCACTAAGATTGTCAGTCCTTTTAGGAATGTGGGGACTTGGTGGGTTAATATGTTAAAACTCCATAGGGTCTTCCTGTCTTAAAGTTTCTCTTAGTCTCTTCACAAGGAAGTCATTCCACTGATGTAGAGATAAACTCCCGTCATGTATACCAGTCGTTAATTCCAGAACTAAAGACCATGCATTCTTGGTTAGGATTCCAAAGCCACTTAATATATGTCCCCTGGTAGATGGCACCTTGAATGTTGATAATGACAGAGATGTTGTTTGTGGTAAACACGCAAGGTTGCTGTTTGTCAAGTTCTGTTTACTTTTTAAAATCTTCACCTAATTGATTTTCTATGTGAAGTTAGCATTACTCTGAGTGTATAAATGAAATTATACATTTATTCTACAAAGTTGTTAAATATCAGTGAGCATTTGATTCATGCTGTTAACTCATTAACAGTATCTCACCTATAAATATAATAATAATACAGTTTAAAATATTTAGGTGCTTTACTTAGGTGCTTTACTTAGGTGCTTCTTGAGTATTGAAATTAAAATGAGTTTATTTGTTGAGCCCAGATGCTTTCTTTATTGATTGTTAATTTGGGGTTAACTGGGTATATTTATTTGTCCACTCTCTATATAAGGCTGTATCCTGTTTTAAAGAACTGCCTCTTTGGGAGTTAGCACTTAACTACATATTTATACATACATACATACATACATACATACATACATATATGTAGAGCTTGGTAGATAAGCAGAGTTAAACTAAAGGGCTGATCTGCAGAGGCATTCTTCATGAGGCCTGACATCTACCTATACCTCACTATTATGTTACATAAATGAGTTCACTCTAAAAATTGGAAGAAATTCATCCAGTTTCACATATTTAGCTTAATCTTTTATGCTAAATATATAATTAACTTTAACTAAATAAATTTATCTAATTCACTTACTGTGCAAGAGATAAAAGTTTTGTCCTTTGCTCCTTATTATTAAGTCTTTCATAATTATTTTGTGGTAATATTTCTATAGCATATTGAGAGCTGGTTATAGATTCTATACTTTAAAGTGTAAATAGATGTTTGGATTCATGTAAAAAAGAATTGATGGAAGGTTGATGGGCTAGCCATTTGTTCAAATTGGTTACTAGTTTGAAATACTTAGGGTGCAGGCTGGGGGTTTCAATTAGTCCATGCATAGTTTCTGTCATACTTATTTTGTAGCATGTTATCTCCTCTCAAAAATGGTTATCAAAATATGGGTCATAACTTACACTGAATATCAGAGGAGAGTGAAGCATGGTAGCTATGTGTCTCATTGCCCGATTTCATTAGATTCTATATTCTACTTTGTGAGGGTGGTTTCCATGTGTAGCTCTGGCTAGCCTTGAAATCACTTGCCTCTGTCTCCCACATGCTAGAATTACAGGCATGTGCTAGCATGTCCATCAATTCTATATTCAGAATTTACTATGAAATCATCATCTTATTTTACATTTCATAAATTTCTACATACACGCTTGCATAGAAAATGTAGCTCATTGCATCCCCATAATGGCTACACCTTGATCTAATATTTTTATGTTTGTATTTGTGCCTTCTTTTAGACCTTATTAGGGCATGCTGACATTGGTGGTGTAGATGCTGAATTAACAAGGGGCTGCTGAGGTAACTGATTACAAAACAGACTCTTCTGGAAACGTATAAAACATTGTCACCGTACTGGATGTTTTGTGTGTCAACTTGACACAAGTTAGAATCATCAGAGGAAGGAGCCTCAGCTGAAGAAATGCCTCCTTGAGATCCAGCTGTGAGGCATTTACTCATTTAGTGATCAATGAGGCAGAGCCCAGGCAATGGTGGTTGGTGCCATCCCTGGGCTAGTGGTCCTGACTTCTATAAGAAGGTGGACTGAACAAGCCATGGGAAACAAACCAGTAAGCAGCACCCCTCCATGGACTCTGCATCAGTTCCTGCTTCCAGGATCCTGCCCTGCTTTGAGATCCTGTCCTGACTTCCTTCAGGGATGAACTGTAATGCTGCAGTGTAAGCCTTTTAATAAACCCTTTCCTCCCCAACTTGCTCTTTGGTCATGATGATTCATTGCAGCAATAGAAATCCTAACCAAGACAGCCATGCTTTCACATTTCTAAACAAAATAGTTCTGTTTGGTAATCATTTCTGTTTACAGGTAAATCTACTGGGATATCTAATCACAATCTGGCATTTAGCTATTGATACTTCATATCATTTAAAATCATTCTTTTTTTTTTTTTTTTTTTTTTTTTTTTTTTTTTT